GCCCACCATCTAGTCATTTTCAACAACCATCACAAAGCCACAATTTGCCAAAGCAATTTCCCATGCAGTCACGACTCATAGGTTTGTTAGCATTTTTTTTTATGGTTGCAAATTGTTATATGAAATTTCTGGTGAATTAATTATTGTCTGAAAAATGTCAATGTGAAGAAAAATGGCTATCTGAAAAAGAAATTGCTATCTGAAAAAGAAATTGCTATCTAAAAAGAAAATTACCATATATGAAAGACTTTCAAAAAAAAAATTTACTTATTTTTATATACTTATATATACTTGAAAATGAGATCTTTTCACAATATAAAACTAACTATTTGTAAAGTCATGAAATTAAATCAAATGATGACAAAAGTGTATAAAATGCAACCTCTTCGTCCACTATAACTATAAAAGTTATGAATAATGCCAGAACGGTAAACACCATTTTCACAGCAGGTATCCAATGCAGCATAAGACTAGTCTTTAAAGTTTCCATTAATATGTATACTACCAAAAAAAAAGTAGACTGACCAAATTTCTATTTGAAATCAGATCTGAATGTGCATAAATTTCTTTTCTCGACTAATAATCTTTGTCTGACTATACAGTCTAAATATAATGGGATCAAACTTTCGTTCTGTTTTTATATAGTCTTTTATTTTCAATATAACCACTTTAGTTAGGATCTAACAACTAACCTCTTGAACATTCCACAAATGAACTTTTTAATCAAACTCAATGATGACCAATCAAATTTCTTCCCTCTCAAGTTCTGGCATTTTGTGAGGTTAGATCTAAAGTTTAATTTGATGAACATTCAAGAGGACTGTCCTTAGACCCTAACTGAAGTAGCTATATTAAAAATAAAAGCTAATAAAAAAAACGGAACAAAAATTTGCTCTAATTTTATCTAGACTGTCTGACTATATAACTGGCTACGGGTTTTAACCAAAGCACAACTTTTAACCAAAATATTTAACAAAACTCATTAGTTTCTCTTCTATTTTTCTTTCATAATCTCACAATCGGCTGTATTTGTACACCACCTCTTTCTAACTGAATCTAACCAAAACTTCCACTACTAATAATACTACTGCTATATTGGACCTACCATCAACTTATATAGTTCTTCCAGATGCTAATAATCCAAGTTCTGGTGCTATACATGCTAGTGCTGTTCATTCTGATAAACCTACTGGAATGTTTTCTGGACAAGCTCACAAACCAGAGGTAGGTATACATTGTTATAAATATGGGATTGTAAACAGGTTTTCTGAAAAATTTATGTGTATCAGGGACACTGGTAAAATAAATAGCGCCATTCCAATTTC